GTAAAGAGGAGAAAGGAAAGCTGCCTTAAGGGGAAAAAATCTCCGCGCACCACAGGATTTGCTAGGTTATACTGACAGACTGCAGAGCTACTGGGCGAGGTCAGGGCCTCTCTGCACAGACCCCGGGACGGTCCCTCTCCTGTACAGACCCCAGAAATGTTCCTCCCATAACACGATTGCTCTGCAGCCCTACGGCTCCAACCCGCGCCGCAGACGAGGGGAGCTGGAGCTGCTCCCAGCCTGGCCTGAGAGCTGGATTCTGGCACCAGGGGCAGCAGCCGGGCAGGGCTCTGCTGGGGCAGCTTCCCTGGCAGCCACGCCCACAGCTCCTGCCTGCCCCACACTGGATCCCAGCTTCCAAAACATTCTAACAGCCTCTAACGGGAGGTGTCTGTCTAAACGTCACCGCTCTCCCTCCTGTCCCTGTGAGGAGCTCTAGGGTCTCCACGTGTTCCCTGGCAGCAAGGACTGCCAGCCATCAGGCTGTGAGGTCACCCAAGCCACAGTCTAGCTCTCCGTGCCCAACATTGTTATGGTAGATTTTACACAACCATTTTCCTTTAAAAATATCTCACAACTTTGAAAAAATCCTAAACAGATAACGGATTTATGCACCACTCATGAGAGGTTAGTTCGTCTCCAATTTGTTCAGAGGGTTTATTGGTGCCACAGGACGTTGTTTTTTGCAGCTTATACAGCTTGTTTCCTTCCAGTTCCAGTTTGTACATCCACCGTGGTTCAAAGTATGCCTGTAGGTGACATTATCTTGGCTTATTTGATATACATTTTCCAAAGGCTGGACGTATTCACAGTTTGGTGCTTCTGGTGTGTATTCAAAGGAAAATACCCCACTTCAGTTAGTCTGACAACTCAATATCAGAGTCCTCTGATTTGACTTTGGCAAGTTCTTCGTGTATCTCCCTCACCATAAGAATCCTTGTTAACATGATGTCCAGGGTGCCCGGGTCGATTGGCAGTGTGGAATACCACATGGGGCTGTTGGGCACGCAGGAGCGCTCAGGCTGCAGGTAAAACACGTCACTTCTCTGCTTCACACTTTCACAACTGCCAAGGTAAAGACAGGAAGAGCATGTTACTGGAAAGCAGCATTAATGGTCCTACAAAAACACTGAGGAGAAACAGGAAAGAAAAAGAAAGTGGCAGTGAGATGACAGCACTGTAACGTAAATAGCGTAATTCAAGTGTTTTTGTTAGTGACTTGGTTTCCCCACTTCCACTTAGGGAACAGTTGTTTCCAGGTCACTCGGCATTAATTGCTTATAAAGAAACAAAATTGTTGACAGGGCTCTGAGCAACCTGCTCTAGTTGCAATGTCCCTGCTCACCACAGAGGGGCTGGACTAGATGAGCTTGAAAGGTCCCTTCCCACCCAAACCGTTCAATGATTCTAGGATGATTCTACAGCCCTATGAAAATTAGAGTGACTTCTTTACAGAGGTGGTTCTTTAGCCAATTAGTGGTACCAGCATCTTGATATGATTGGTAGATGCATTTGACACTCAATCTCTAAATGAGGCTGGTTCTAGCATTCCAGAATTGCTGTGCACTTTGGCAGAGGGCATGTTCCAGAGCTAGGCTAACTGAGCTTGCCTGCTCATGGTGCAGAATGGTGAGCCCTTCTGCCTGAAAGACTGCCCATCTGACTCTGAGGCAGCTTCCAGGCTCTGGGAGGAAGACACAAAGCCCTCTAGAACAAGGATCCCTCCTGCCTGGCTTTGGAATATCCACATTAAAACAGCAAAGTGAATTTTTACTGCTGCTTGCACCACTGCAGGGGCTCAGCTGTGATAAACAACAAAGAACATGAAAATGTTTTCCCAGCCCAAGGACAGCTAAAAGGTTCTAACAGTATGCAAGGGAAGACAAGTAGGGTAAGAAGAGGAAGACAAAGAGTCAGGAGAGCTGCTAGGCATGCCTTTACCTAAGTAATGTGATTATTTGGAGTAAGCTCAGTAGGTGCATTTTTGAGGGTGATTTATCTGAGTTTTAGCTGACACTAACGAGGTGCTGTTTCATTTTCCATGTGTATTTTCTTTCAAGTGAGAACATCATATTGCACCTGCCAAACGATCTAACCAAAGCTTACACAGAAACAGGAGAGACAAAGTGATTTATATCTATGTCCTTGCTGTATGGTCTCCTTTCTAATTCCTAAAGCACAAGTTAATCTCAGCTTTCAGCAGGCAAAAGCTACCAGAAGTAACTCTTTCCCTGCCCTCCTTCAAAGAACATGATGTCTGGGTATTAATTACAGTCTTGATGAGAATGCCACAGTGATGGTAGCAATGCTTCCTGTTTACATTTACACCCTATGGATGTTCTAGGCTATGTACAGATCAAAAATCAAGTTCTGCCACTTACCACTTTGATAAGTAAAACTCATAAAGTCGGACTGGACATCGCAGGGGATTATCTGTGTTCTCAGCCATTTCCACTGCTGTTGGAATCTCCTCATCTTCACTGCGTTTCCTTTTCCCTCCAGATAATTTATCTGGATACACAAAAATGGCATCACAGAAGTTGAGTGAAGAACAACACCTTCAAGAGCAAGCCCTAGTCACCTTGCCTAGTGATGGGACCTTGCACCACATGAAACACTCCAATGGATCATCTCCCATGTGTGAGGCAACTGGCTTGATCTGCTGCATGGGCAAAATACAGCACATGCCACAGGCTGTCCACAGCCCATTCCTCTGCAAGGAAATCAACATCAACTAGTATCTAGCACAAGAATATGGAGGATGTGATTTTTCTCAATGAAGCAGAATTTGTAATGTATTTGTGGAACTATTAACTGAAGAAGCCAATAGGATCAAAGACTTCCCTTCTCCAAATTCCAGAAAATAACATCAAACAAAAATCTGTCTTTGCCTCTGAAGTCAAGAGGACAGTCCCTACTCCTGTGCAAGCCTCTAGCCTCACCTAAACTGCTGTTCTCCATTTGAGCTGCCTTGTTTGTTCACCACCTCAGCCTAAGGTAAATCTGGAAATAAAACTCTGAATCTCAGGAATATGAAGTCCTGAGGAAAGTAGATAAAAGACTATTAAATAAATCTGCAGTGAAATCTGTGGCACCCCTTTTGTAATTTTTTACTGGATGCTTTGGCTCATGCAGATTTCTCCTTAAACCTTACTAGACTGAAAAAACTTTGAAAATGTACAGGATAACAGAATTTTCACAGCTCTGCTTACTGTGTAACTTATTTTCCTCCCCAGTCTTTTTTTTTGAAAACAAGGACCACACAATACAGTTACATAACTTCCAAGATTCAGGTTATCAGAAAGCACTCACCTGATTCTACCTCTTGTTTTTGAAAGGGTGGGAAAAAACGTAAATAAGTCATCTTAGTATTGTACTTCAGAGTCCGGGTGCGTCTCATAACGTGGGCAAAGGACAGTTTCAGGTGCTCACTGACATTCTTTAGTTGGAAGTATTTGGTGTTGAAGAACAGAAGCGTGTTCAATAAAACGATAGGGGAATATGCACCCAGCTGTTTACATTCCCACAAGTGTTCCTCTTCAATTCTTGAGAACATATAACCTAGAAACAACAGGCAAAGAGAAAACAAGAGAGTTATCTATGCAGTCTGAGGCCTCTCCCCACATTCAGTAACAAATGAACAGCTTCTATGGGCTAATCTAGCAGATTTTCAGAATTTTTTCCCAAAGCAATGAACAGATCAGAAACGAGCACGGTGGGATGGCAGAAATGAGTAAAATTAATTAGGCAGATTTTGCCAGGGATTCATAGAAGTCTCTTTCAGCTCATCTTCTATATAAACGAACCGTGTATCAGACCAAATTCAGAACTATCATAAGCAATTGTAAATCAAATAAAACCAGGAACACCACATGCACGAACATAAGAGGGGGCATGGAGAACCAAGCTGTGGAACAGCAAGATCTTCCAACACCTGAAGAACAGACAGAAGGATATAAACAAAGACTGAAGACACCAGCAGAATCTCACTGAGTTCTAATTTCACTGTTTTAAACCACAGTCAGCCAACTGCAAAAAAAGTGTAATTCCTGACATGGAACATGAGTTCAAAATGTACCATCTTTATATACAAATAGCCCGTTGTGATTCTCTTAAGTCAGTTAGGAAAAGGAGATATGGGGGCTGGTAAGAGATTGGTTGTGGAAAAAAAAAATGACTGTATGCAACAGTCTATAAGTAGTTGGATCATTTCTGTATTAAGTAAAAAAATTTCTAAATGAAGAGCCAGTCATGGATATATGTATGGAGTTGCCAATACCACTCACATTTCACTGATACTCTGAAAAAGATCTTGCATACTAACACGCCTGGTGTCCAGCTTTATAGACTGCATGATCATACTTGAATATTTTCAGAATTTGGGAACTCTTAATTTGGAAGTGACTGAGGTGAGAAGAACTTGGAATTGAGGAGTGGAGACAAGATTCCAACTGGTAGAGACAGACAGGAAATCCATGGTGCTAGTCTACCACAAACAATTACATGGTGGAGAAAGAGGAGACCAGTGTGAATGCCTCAGATCACATTCTTCTTCATGGCATTGAGAAAATACCAATTTATAATATGGCTTTGTCATGCAGCTACACGAAACAAAATAATTGTCCTACCATTTGGAAGAATTGTAGGTTCCCAGATTTTCAAAAGTTTTGTAAGTTCAATCATAAACCTGGAATAGGGCTCGGTAAAAATGTTATCTATTCTACCATTCTCAAACAGGTACTACAAGAGAAAAAAAGGAAGACATATAGTTTGTGATTATATAACATTGCAGAGATGATACAGGACATCAGACTCTTTTCCCTTCTTATGTCCCAGTGTCTCATCAGTAAGATTATCAAATCAATTTTTTTTTGCAGGGACTGGGACATCCCCCGTATGAAATGAGAGATCTAGGCAAGAAATACTGTCAATATTCCAAGCTCTAGAGCTGTTTTCTGAAAAATCATCCTCTAAGTGTTAAATATTCTTGAAAAAAGTCTGCCTATAAAAAACAGTAGTTACTGAGTATTTTTCTGTTGAAAAGAGCTTCATATCCTAATATCTCCTGACAATAGATATAGGCCCTGAAATAGCTTCACTTAGAGCATCGAGGTCAAAGTCCCTTAAACCCTTCCCAAGCAGCAGTTAAGAAAAGTTTTCTATAAGTCAGGAATATGTATCAATAAATAAGTCAAAACTGGAACACACAAAAATTGCTGACACTCCTAGACCTTATCAATGGCACTTTGAGTTTTAACTCTTTCTACATTTTTTTTCGAGCATAGCTATGAAAAAAAGAAAATTTAAGCTAATTCCATGCCTAGTCAAATGATAGGTTTGACAACAAAAGGAGCTTTTGACTCCTTATCTCCAAATTACTGTTTAAGGAAAGGAACAAGCAGGCTACTCTGAACAAAAGCCTCTAACAGAAATTTACTGAACACTGAGTTTTAACCAGAAGTTAATTTTATACCAGGTTTGTGCTGCAATTGTTTCAAGGCAGGTAGCAAGGACTTAAAACATTACTTTTAGCATTCATTAATTAAAATGAGATTATTCTCATTGTGGTTTTTTTTTTTTCTATAATAATGCCAACACAACAGGTACCTGTCTAGCTGCTGAAGGAGCTCAGTCTTTGCTGGGTAACTTCTTCCATGTAAACTTGTACATTAGAAGAGCATTGTGCAACTATTTGAGATCTTAAACATTCCATCACAAAGCAAATATTTCTGAAGAGAAAATCTTCCCTATGTATGAAAAAGGATCAAAAAGGTACCAAGCCCAAAGATTTGTGCCTATGTAGAACACCTAGTCCTCCATGCCACACTCCTCCCAAGTGCAGAGGAAGCCTGTTCACTCTAATCATAAAAAGGTCCAGATAAATTAGTCAAATATGGGATTAAGACAGACTAAGAATAAAACACAAAAAAGGTACATTCTTGCCTCCTTTACAAAACCCAAGCAGCTACATGGGACTATGGATATAAAGCACAAATAACCAGAGCAAGTTGTGTATGTTCTCAGCAATATGCCAGTTCTCTCAGTTACCTGCTGAATTCCAAGGCACAAGTACAAGATGCTGTCAGGATCATATTTTTCTCCATTTGGTCTCCGCACCTCTTGGATAAACTGGCACAACCCAAAACTCAGCTCAGCAAAAGTGCATGAGAGAATGTCCTCCTTGACTTTCACAGGACGAACTGTGGCCAAGAAAATGATCAGAAAAATTAACTTAATTCAACAGATGACAACTCCACACATACCCTGTTATTTCATGTAGGCAGAACTACTCAAACTCCTCTCTTATACATGAAGTATCCTGTGCGACTAAACTCGTAAACTATGTCCTATTTGTTGGCTAACAATGAAATGAGGATTTGGCCAATAAAACTGAAACCATTGGCATGTGCAAGCAGTACAAGTGCTGCAGCTGAGAAATAGGACTGCAGGTATTTAAAGCTAA